CTTAGTTGCTGACAGAGGTTAAACCAGGACAGTTTATATAACTTATTGAATCTTCACAAAGGGAGATAAAGGAGTAACTGTTTTAGGTTATGTTAAGACTCCATCAGGTCAAAACACTGATTTTTTTTTTCCCCCCATGAGAGTTACCTGGCATGGATTCCAGATGTTACCCTTGTCAAGTGGGTTCTGTAGCTGCACACGTGGGACTTGTTTAATCTGTTGAAAGTCTTCTGACTTGTAGGATGGACAGATTGAGAATTAAACTCCTTGATAGTTTGAGGCTTGTAATCTATTTATTTGTAATCTCCCTCCTAACCCCCTTTTTGATGTGCCAAGTATTTCCTACACTAACTAAAAAAGACCAAAGGAAGAAGGAAGAATTACTTTTATTTCCAAAGTGTCTAGATAGGTTGTGAAGTTTGAGAAAGTCAACTCACAAAGAGAGATGGACATCTTGAGTCTAATCAAATGGATTTCTTTAATTAAATAACTTTGAGGATATTCACCTAAACAATTTGCCTAAACTCAGAGAAAGAAAACATATGAACAATATGACAGGTGAACTGAGGTTTGCCATATCATTTTACCATTTCTTTAGCCAGAAGATATATTGTCTCAAATGCTCTAGCAGTTAATTTTAATAGATACCAACAGCATAGACTTTTTCTTCCCTTTGTTTTATTTTCTTTTTTGAAAATATTGCAGAGAGCCAAGGTTAGGTGGTCAGCTGTTACATTGTATCCATAGTTATAGATCTTATCTGGCTTTTCTTCTGGCATGATCAACCATTTTACAGTACCATCAAACTTTTTCAAATCTCTTGATGCGTAGGAAGATGGTTGTTTTACATTAACTCTTATTTCACATAAGCAAAAGAATTCTCTATGCTAATAGATTTATGGTTAAGGTGGTTGTAGAAATGTTCCCACCATCAATGCATAATGGATGCTTTGTCAGTAAGCAATTTACCTCCATTGATGGAGGTGCAATTATCAGCGTTGCTGACTGATGACACTTTTGAGTGCATCATGGAGCTTTAGTGTGACTGTGTGTAGTGCATCTGTGGTCTAATCCAAGTAGATACTTCATACAGATCTGCGCTTGTTTTGGCTGGGATAGAACTAATTTTCTTCATAGTAAGTGGTATGGGGCTGTGTTTTGAATTTGTCCTGAAAACAGTGTATGTAAGACAGGAATGTGTCAGCTATTGCTGAGCAGTGCTTATGCAGAGTAAAGGGCATTTCTGAGTCTCATCCTATCTCACCAGCAAGGACACTGAGAGTGCACAGGAAGTTGTGATATAGCCAGAACAGCTGACCCCAGATATTCCAGACCATATGACATCACGCTCAGCATACAAAGCTGGAGGGCAGGGGAGGAGAAGAAAGAAGGGGGGAATGTTTGGAGTGGCAACATTTGGAGTGATGGCGTTGGTGTAGTTGCCATTATGGCATTACCCATGATGGGGCTGTGCTCTCCAATAGGAAAGGGGTAAAGGAACTTCTTGTTTTCCTTGGCTTGCATGTGCAGCTTTTGCTTTATCTATTAAACTGTCTTTATCTCAACCCATGAGTTTTTTCGCTTTTACCCTTAGGACTTTCTCCCCCATTGCACTGGGTGTGAGTGAGCGAACAGCTACATGGGGCTGACAAGATCAAAGATCATTTAGAGTTTCATTTCAAATACTTCTCTAAACCAGGACTTATGTTCATACTAGTGATTTCAGAGGATGTATGTCCTCTTTAGAAGGGATAACCTGTGCCAAGCTTGGTGAGGTGATTTGTGTCTGTGGTACCATGACTCCAATTGATTAAGTGTTGTTGCAGCAGCAATGGCATGCATCAGTTTTGCTATTCCAAAAACATTCCTTTGCTCAGGCTGTTTAGACTAATGGCAGTATAATCCAGGTAAGAATCAAAATTCTTGCAGGAGCACCATTTATACTGTATTTTGTTATTCTCAATAAATAATTGCAGTAGTGATATTTTATTCATCACTCATATTTCATGAGTTTCTAAGCCTGCAGTTTGGGAGATACAGTAAATACAATCAAGATTTCCTAATTATCATGTTTTAACAGATTGTTCATGCTTGTTACTGGGCCATTTCATTTTTCAAACTGTGGAAATGAATAAGTGTAATCCCAGTGTATAAAAGCATGTGTAGGGGGTAAGTTCATACAGGCTCTCCCTCTGTAGCTCTCTTTATGGATTAATAAAGTCATGCATAATGCTACATAAATCCCACACAAGATAGTTGGAAGAAATGACTAGCAACAGCTAAATTGAAAAAAAAAACAAGGTCTAAGAAAAATCTGACCTTCTGTACCTTCATAATATATAGGAAAGAGATGCACTGAGGATGCATGTCAGTTCACAACTCTCTTACTAGATAAGTATCTCTTTATGAGCACCAGAGGAAATAATACCTTAAAAATTTAGGAAATATGGCACCTTCCTCATGCATAATTTTTCTTATTGGATTTCTAAATTTTTATCTCCTAGTTGTCTTAGCAGTTTTCTGGACAGAGGTACATTAAGTGTTCTGGATTTAAATGTCTAATGAGTATATGACAACATAAAAGCACCAAGAGAGGTTTAGGCATCCTGGCTGGAAGACTGACACCTATCTTAAATAGAAAATGCAAAGCAATAAGCACAGACTAAAAGAAATATATATATTAATCTTTGAATTGCTATACAAATTCCAACTGTGTTATTAAATACATTCTATCAGGCCAGGCTTCTTCCAAATCCAGCAATGAAATTATGTGGAAGAAGAGGTGGCGGGGGGAGGCCCTCTGCCTCAGTTTCCTACTGCATAAGGGTTACACAGCAGCAAGCTGGTGTGATTCTTCCAAGTGCCAAAGTACTGGATTCCCAATTACTTGTCTTGCTGAGTCTTAAATTAAAAGAAAAGAAAAGAAAAGAAAAGAAAAGAAAAGAAAAGAAAAGAAAAGAAAAGAAAAGAAAAGAAAAGAAAAGAAAAGAAAAGAAAAAGAAAAGAAAAGAAAAGAAAAGAAAAGAAAAGAAAAGAAAAGAAAAGAAAAGAAAAGAAAAGAAAAGAAAAGAAAAGAAAAGAGAAAAAAAGAAAAGAAAAGAAAAAAAAAGAAAAGAAAAGAAAAGAAAAGAAAAGAAAGAGGAAAAGAAAAGAAAAAAGAAAATCAATTCTTTGTGGTGAACTCTTTTGCAACTGATAAGGGCATCTGTGCTGCAATCCTGTACCACAACATTTATCAGCTTCCCACTTTTCTGTCCCTTCCATTCATCAGCTTTTTGAAACTGTAGGGAATGAAGCAAGCACTGGCATTGCACTTTCCTGACTCTGCAGTCAGCATTCTGGAAAGCAGTCTGTGAGACCAACAGAGAAGGGGTTAAAGTGTTCCATGTCTTGCACTTGGTTACTAACCTTTCAGCCAAGAGGGAATTGCTCTCCTTTCATAGAAGTCTTTCAATCTCTTTGCATTACTTTTGGTGCTGTATAACATTTTAAAAGCTCCATGACTGACAGACATGGCCGGAGGCAGAGCTCTGCTGGGAGAACTGTAATGTACAATCCTCTCAGCAAAGAGAAGTAGTATAACAATTAAGTTGAATACAGTATGATTTTGGCATTTCTGAAGTAGTGCAAACTATCTCAACACTTCTTTTATTTATTTTCACATCCCAGCTATGACTGGACAATTCAAAATGAAACTTTGAGTTCTTTGTTTAGTTTTATTTCTTTTGTATGTTTCATGATTACTGTGATTTTGCCATAAAAACTCTGCAACCATGGATCAGGAGAGGCACAAATACGTACCAAATACATTAATATTGAGTTCAGATCTCCAGTGTGGTTGGGTCTGCTGGAATAAAATCCATAGACTACAAATTATAGTGCAAGTAAGAAATTTGTAACCATTGCACTAAAAAATACTTTGCTCTAAATGAAATGTCTTGAACATAACTTAGGAAATTTTTTTAAAGGCTCATGAGCAGGTGGGAGTTCTTTTCTCATTTTTATCCTTTCTGAAGATAGAACTAAAACATTAACTTGCACTATATACCTTTTCACCAGATTTTTTACTATCTTTTTTATTAAGACCTAAAAGATAATCTTTGAAATCTTGCCCTGAATTTAAAATAGGAAGTTCAGTTATTTGTCTAGGGTGGGGTTTTTTTCTTCTTTAAGAATTGTTAGGTTTTTGAGGCTTCTGATTATAAATCCTTTCTATTTAAATACTGTAGCATGTACCTAAGAAATAACAATTTCTATGTTATTTATTTTTATGGATAGTAGTAATATTATTCATAAGGAAAATATAACCTTTGGCAGTATTTGAAAATGAAAAATATATGTGGTTAGGTACTTTATGATTCTTCTTTTTAGAGGTCAATATCATGTCATTGATTTTTAGGCAGAACTCTATTGATTTGCAAGAAACCTGTGCTTAAAAATCAATGACACAATATGGTCCTAACAAAGTGGTGAATTCCATAGTGCTACAAATTGGGGTTTTTTTTTGGTTTTTTTTCATGTAAAATGGACCTATCTTAAATCCTACAGGCAGTATTTTTTATACCTGGCAACCAGCAGATTGTAGAGAAGATGCTTTTCTAGCAGAGAAAGTAAGCAAAGAATTTCTGGTCTGGACAGTAGGATGAAAGACTGGCTCCTCTCTTCTCAAGAATTTTCTTTGTAAATCTGGAGTAAAAGTATTTGATATCACTGATGGGTAACAGTTTTCTTTGAAAACTAGGTCATAAAGTAAAGGTTATGGGCCTGTCCTCTGACAGACACAAAGGGAATGCTAAGCAGAGCAAGCATAACATATAACTGTAATAACTGTACAATGTTCTAGAGCAGCTCAGTGGTACAATGGAAATAGCAATCTCTTTTAAACTGTGATTCTTTATCTTTTTCTTTGTCTCTAGAAAGTAACTAGGTGTGAGAATTTTGATAAATGCTTCAATGTAATTTTATGTAATTTTGATGTTGCATGTAAATTTCTTTTATAGGTCCCTTTAGATGGAATTTAATGCAGCAAAAACCTTGTCATCAGAAGGATTAATGCCTGCGTTAGTATTTCTGCAATAAAACTAGAAGCTAAGTTGTGAAGGCCACAGACACCTCAAACCTGGATTCATCTGCTCTGCATTAAGTGCTGGAGTTTTTATTATTTACTGTAGGGAAGACATTGCCAATGCTTACAAGAAACTGCTTATCCCTGCTTCTCTGGGTCCTGTTTGATGGAGGTCTCCTAACACCACTGCATTCACAGCCACAAGAAATTTTAGAAGCAGAGCCAAGAGAAAATGTTGTCCCACTGCCAGGGAGGAGGTCATCTGCTCAGCGAGTCAAACGAGGCTGGGTGTGGAATCAATTTTTTGTGCTGGAGGAGTACATGGGCTCTGAACCTCAGTACGTGGGAAAGGTAATTTTTTACTATTTCTTTAAAAGTTTAAATGATAAAAATAGAAAAATGTATTATAAATGTGTAGCTGTTTCTGGTGGGACAAATCTTCTTCAACTGACAGTAGTTCCCTCTGTTCATTGCTTTTACCATTCAGCCTCTCGTATAGTCACTATATACTTTCTATCTTTGCATGTTTGTCTTATTTCCTTATTCTTGGTTTTGGAAGAAAACAAAAACAACAACAAACAAACAAAGGGATTTCTGAGATAAGTTTGTGGTGCATAACTAAATTTAATTGAATCTACAGTAATAGCATACTTGATTTTTAGCAATGAATATTGGTCTGATATCAAGAGATAAGATTTAAAACATAAATCTCTAGCCCAGAATCCACAGACATTTCTGTGATTCGTATGGTTAGTCCAAGTCAGTTTTCAGCTAATGAAGACACCTCTTTTTTGCTATCTTATGCCTCAGTACCACCTATTTTATTTCTGATTGTTCAGGTTGTTTTCAAGTATTTCTAATATGTTTTATTGCTTCGTAATTCAGACTTTTGCATTATAGGTTTTCTAGTGTGTGTAGGCATGCACATTCGTTCATGCAGAGAATTCATGCAATTCTCTCATTATATGACAACTGTTTCTGTAACAGGGTATAAGTAATTGATAGCCAACTATTTGAGGTGTGTGTGAGAGGGGTGAATTTAAATAATAGAATTTTCAGACAGGAAAGCTGAAAATGACATCTGAAAAAATCTTAGCAGAGTATATAATTGGATGCTGAGCATAATTTTGATTTTAAGGACCTTAATGAAAATAAGAAGTCAGGGATTTGGTTCCTGGGTCCCCAAATGCCACTTCCCTCGACAGCAAGGTTCAAATACTCTTACCAAAAAATGAGTCATGATGCTTCAGTTTTTACTTTGATACTATTTTGTAACTGTTTTTAATGTAAAAGCTGTGAAATTTTTTTCCCCCAAATATAAATTAAATTAGCGGGAAATTAATTTCCCTCCTATTCTTCCAGAAATCTATTTTGAATTGAGGATGTATAAATAAAATGTGGTTCACCAGATTATTTAAGAAAGCAGCCAAAAATTTACTTGCATATTACACATGTAGACATTTGTGTTAAACACTAAAATATATTAGTCAAAACAATTTACAAAGCAGTATGTTTATGGCACAAAGATAATATAATGAGCTTGTTTTACAGTCTGAAGAAAGAGGAACCAAATAATGAAAAATTGCATGTTAGTGATGTCCAGTTGATACAAATTACACTTTCTCTAACACACATCTTTATTCTGGCAACTTGCTAAATATGCAAACAAGGACTCTAATCACATTCAGTGCTGTAGCACAGGCAAAGTGATTGTTGTGCTTTTTACCTCAGAAGACAGAGTTGTTATTGCTGCACCATTATATTTCACTACTCTTTATTACTTTATGTAAGATTGTCTGGGTAGTCATTTAGGGTCAGTTCTAAGCTGCCAAAATAATATTAATTCTGCACTAAATTGACTATTATTAATATAGTGATGTGTCAGCTGCTTCATTCTTTCTGTGGTCCATTGACTTTAAGTTTATGATCAAGATTAGAGTTAATGGAATATTTTCATTAAGAGTAACACTTATCACAGATTTACCTGGCATATCTGTACCTCTTGAGACTTTTTTGAACTGTTGCAAGTTGTGGAAAAGACACTTACCAAATATGAGGAAAAAAATCTAATTGCAGAGTAGCACACACAATAGTGAAGCTTCTCGACAGGATATCATATACCACTGTTACCTAATAAATAAAATAAAATACGGAAGGATCTTAGTGGTGAAATACAAAATAAACTAGGATGTTTACTTAGAACATCAGTAACATTAAGACAACTTGCTTTTAGTATAGAGCATTTAATTCCAGATTATAACTTTTTCAACAAATTTTGTTGCCTGCCTCATGATGTTTTTTACAACTTGTTATATCTATACTATTTGCTTCCACATATCTGACAAAAAAAAAACAACTACCAGTTTTTGTATGTCATCTTTGTTGAATCTGTTACGAAAGCCCATGAGAAATGGAGATGTGTTTTCCCCTTATTTTCCACAAAACCTCTCAAAGAAGGTATAACACTGAATGGGAAAAGTCCCTCAGAGAAACTGCACTTTTAAATCCGTATAATGAAAGCCAAGCTTAATAAAATTCAAACCATTGTCAACATACTGGAATATACTCACCAGCAGCTAATCAATATCTTTAGGTCTTATGTAATTTTTAAAAATCGCATTCAATTTTTAAGGTGTGAAATGCAGTTGATTTCTTGATTAATTGCAGAAATTAGTTTGCGGAAATAAATTATTTACCATAATTAATGTTTATTATAAAAGCATATATTTACAAGGCAATTCTTTTTATAATGCTACTGTTCTATATTTTAAAGTGGTAATATGTGTATGATAAAGTGTAGGATGTTTTATGTGACTTGATCCCAGGGTTTTTATCTTCTCCCAGCCCTGATAGCCAGATAGCTGTGCATTGGCATTTACATTACTTATTATAGAACTACTGCACTAATAATGTCACATTAATTTATAAATAGGAGTTTAATGTATCTATTAAAACAGCTGACAGTTTCACTAAACAGTTAAGGGTGACTAGTTAATTTTGCAAACCTCCTGTAAGAGAATACAGATTTACAGCAATAACGGCATCTTAATTCCTTTCATGTCTTTTTTTAGGAGACTGTCTCAAGAAGTGTTAGGTTACAAATCAAAATATAGTTTATAAACTGATTGAGATTAGTCTAGCTTGGAGGTGGTGATCTTGAAATAGTGTTGCAAGTTGACATATTAAAAGCATTTAACCTGAATATTAGAGTTTGGAAATCTTCTGCTCGTGTAATCTGGAAGAGCCATAAAAATCCATCAGAATGCTAAACAAAAGATAGCCCCTTTACCAGGCATCCAGTGAGCAGATCCAGTCTATAAAGCAAAATTAGGATATGGCATTACTCTGTGACCCATGAAAATGAACGGGATGCTGAAAGGCTTGCTGTAAAATAAGACTTGCACAGTTACTTTGCAGTGTTTTATTTGTTCTTCTGGTACTGTGAAGCCCCAGAAGGCCAGGCAAAATAGCACATGCATGGATGAAGACAAAAACGTTCATGATTTTTTTTATGCAAAAGCTCAATTCTCAGTGAATGGTGACAGAAATCATCAGAGTATCAGGTCCTCAAGCATGGCCAAGTCCCAATGCAGTTCATAATCACAAACAAGGTAGCAATTTTAATTGCTGTTAGCCAAGGGTAGCAACTCCACTGGAACACTATAAATCTTTCTACAACCTTTCTTAATTGCTATGTTTCAATAGTGACATGCAGAGGCAGCAAAATAAACTGAACATTCAAGAAATAAAATAGACAAGAACAGTATACGTCCTTCATTGTCAAGATAGTACTGGTAAAGGTTTTTAGCTGTGATCCATGTAGCATGCTTCCCTCTATATGTGTCTTTGCATTCCTAATGTGTAAATGCATTGCATCTTTCTTGTGTTGTACACCTCCACAGTTGCTTTTAGTTAGGATTTTTGCTGTCTGTCCTCAAGCTTGCGGAGACACGAATATGGCAACTTGAACTGGAAGCAGACTGGGTGCATAGGAAAAGATTGCAAAGTCCTCTTTTATGTAATGGCCATTTCTCTTTTATTTTTCAATGTGAAAAAAACCCAAACCAACAAACAAAAACAAACCCAAAAAACGCCTCAGCTTGCCAGATATTTTTTTGCCAATGAACAACCTATGTTTTGCAACATTTTGTTCTTTAAACCTCTGTCATATTATACACACACATACAAACTACTACAGATATTTTTTGCTAAGAAAAAGATGCTGTAATATTTAATAGTCATGACTGCTCTGTGGCAGTACAGGGTGCATGTAACAATACGGTATTTTTCATCTGAGTCAGTCCTGAGAAAGCCTCATCATCTTCAAAGGTTTACCTATATATCAAGGCAGAAACAGTGCTGATTTGGAGTAAGCAGAGCTCTGTATCTGCAACCAGATCAAAGTGCTTTTTTGAAACCTAATAATTTATCTTCTACATTTGAAATATGAGCATAGAATTCATTTGTGCTTTTTGTAGGGGGTAGTTTTTATTATAACTGAATTAATGTTGACCACCTTCCATCAGGCTTAAATCAACACATTCTTCTGAATACAATATCATTTTGCAGTAATTTTCCCTCTTGGGTGAGCACCTGGATGACAGTGAAGTCTGTAAAGGAAATTTTGCACTGCTTGTGTAAAATCTGTTTAGACAAAAAATTTTACAGTGCTGTGGCTATCATTTTGGCATCATTTATATGCAGTGAGTTAACTTGAAAGAAAAAAGTTAAGGAAGAGAATTTGCAGTAAATTTGAAAACCACTGCCCTTTGAAGAAAAAAAATGCTTAAGTCTGTTCATAACTGTACTCTGATTAATCTAATTTTTTTAAAATTATATTTCTACTTGATTTCTGTCTAGAGGGTCACAATAATATTTCATTTAATTTTTCCTGGCCTATCAGATTCCGTGCCCACAACCGAAGTCATAGTATTAGAGAGACCTGTGTACCTTTTCCATTAGACATTTCCACAGGGCCATCATCAAGGAGAGGAAAATTTTTTAAGGGACTGCTGCTAGTAATGTATTAATTGACTCCCCATGATGCAGGACATCACAGTTACTCATCCCTGGATGATTTTAATATGAAAGATATGCTATTTATAAGAATGATCTTGTTCAATACATCATACAAGAGTTCATATACCCACCTCTTCACAGTGAAATCTTAGTTAAATCTAAGGTCTTAGTGGTTCTTAGAAAATAATTTGAAGCCTAATCAGGCATGATCACATTAACCTGGTTTACCAAACCAGCTTACTGAGCTTATACCATGCACCTTTTCAGGTAAAGACACTGTGACAATTTATTACAGATAAGAAAATTGACGAGGAAAAATGAAATTGTAAAAA